ACTGCGGCCCCCCGCGGCGGGGCAGCCCGGGGGCTCCCGGGGCAGAAGCGGTCCCGCGGAGCCGGCAGCCGGGCGAGCAGTTCCACTAGATGGGGCTTGTGGACTTCCCACCGGCTGGGGAGGACCGGGGCTAACGCTCTTCGGCTTTCTCCTGCCTAGGGATCACTACGGAGGGCATCTACCGGACTGTTGGCAGCAATATCCAGGTGCAGAAGTTGCTGAACGCCTTTTTTGGTAAGAATTAATGATTCCCTGCAACTAGACCGTCCTGGTTTTGTATTGTTTAAGAGGGACAGAGAGAATCGGGTTTCACGGTGAGCAACGCCCAGCGCGGCTGTCGGTCCCCGCGGCCCCTCCGAGGCACATCTCCCCTTCTTTCCTGGGCTTTTTTCTGCAGCCCGCTCCATGGCCTCTCCCTTGAAACTGCATTTATGTGTTTGTGGTGCAACCTGCATTTTAAGTTAAGTGAGCAGCAGCCAGATAAAGCGAGGCAGTGACCCTGGAGCAGTGGGAACAAGCCTTCTCCCATCGCGTGCTAAAAGTATTCTTGCATTTTGGCGTCACGTGCTGGGGACGTATTCCTGCCGCGGGCCCAGGGTGCGGGACGTTGGTCAAAGACACACGAGCTCTCGCCCTCTCCTCCGCTGCCGGCACGGCCGGCAGCGGAGCCGCGGCAGCAGCAGAGGGGCTGCGGACAGCGGGGCGGCTGGAGCGGTCGGGCGCATGTGGCACGGGTTTGGCAGCATCGCCCGACAGTCGAGCAACGGCAAGAAGAATCGTTGCTCAGCCAGCCGTCACGACTCCTTTCCCTTGACAGCAGCCCATGTCCCCAGTCTTACTTCGGCAGTGCAAATGAGAACCAGAGCTGAAGGTTAGCACCCGTTAATTAGCGTGTGGGATCCTGAGGGCCCCAGCGTTCGGGCAGCCCCTCCTGCCGCGCTGCTGCCAGGGAGCTCGCCCGGCCGGTGCTGCTCGTGGCGAGGGGCCTTGTCCCACGGCTCCCACATGGCCGCCTCCTAAACCGGCCCCCCCAGACGAGCTCGGGGGGCCCTTGTCCTCAGTGGGCTATCACGGAGAGCCATACTGAGAAGGTGGCCGCCACAGGGAGGCCTTTACCCTGGTTTAAGGTTTTCACTCGGAAGGACTGGGGTACCTCACTGTATGTAACGTATACGTTAATTTGTCGATATATGCATTTCTGCTGTAAGCCTTTCTGTGCACTGAGTTTTGCATTTTGTACAAGCACGTAAAGTGGCGGGTAGTCGTTATACAAGAAACAGTTAAACTCCCTGCGCAGGCTGTGGGGCTCAGCAGCGTTGCTCCGTGCCAGCACGGGCGCTCCCGGGCTGGGACCTGGCTGAGGCCATCGCGCCCCTGCCCGCGGTGCCTGTGGGCCAGGGCAGGCTGCGAGCTTTTACTGTTGTGTTTTACTGTTGTTTACTATTGCTTTTACTATTGTTGTTGTTTATTAAAACGGCTGGTTTGTGCTGACGTTTAGCTGTACCCGATTCCCATGGAGCCAAGCCTTCAGACAGCTGTCCAGTTACACCTGCCTGATGATTAATTACTTCGCCCAAGTTTGTAGTGCTTCTTGGTTCTCACCCTCCTTGTGGGTGGCTCTGCGGTTTTCTCCTCTGAACACCACCAACGAGTGGCTTTTCGTTTTGTTTGTATGCACTGCTCTGGTTGACCACTTCCCACCCCACTGTGTACAACCTCACAACGGAGAGTCCAACAACACAGAAATAGCTGCTGCAGAAGGATTTCATCCTGAACTTCAGAAAGGAGAGAGAATTTTTTTTTCTCTAGTCCTGTTTATTTTTTTAAAAAAAGCATGCAGTTTATTTCTTTAGTCCAGCTGCCCCCCATCCTCCAACCGTGTCCTTTATTCATTGTACCACAGAAATGATGGGGCTGTTCGGGGAGGGGAGGCAGGAGCAAAGCCTGCGTCCGTGCTGCTGTGCCCCCTCCTCTGGGCTCCCTCCTCGCCCTGCAGCGAGGGAACGTGGCCAGAGCAGCCTTCGGGGGAGTAGCTGCGCAGGAGGGATTGGAGCTGGATGCTTAGATTACTTTGGATATCAGAAAGCTCTGGATCTGTTGAAATGTGTCGTTTCTGCCAGTCTTGGCTGTGCTGGGAAAAAAAAACACTGTAGAGAATATGCCCTCACTGACTTTTCACCACTGCTTAAATGTTACCTTCTGCTCTTCCTTTGTCCCTAGTTAGCGCTGCTCCTCAGCCTTTCCAAAATAGCGACGCTGGCACTGTTGTTCTGCTTTTCCCAGCAGTGGGAATCAGCAGCTTTCTTCACGTGCTGCTGTAGCTTTGTTTGTCTCGAGAGCATGCCCTCCCTGAGAGCGGGCTATATGAACAGCCTCAAAAGGGACCTTATTTTAAAGCCATTTTGTTCTTCCTCCAGATCCAAAATGTCCGGGGGACGTGGATCTCCAAAGCGGTGATTGGGACATCAAGACGATTACCAGCTCATTGAAGTTTTATCTCAGGTACCACTGCGGGTCGCACCTGCCCGAGCGGGCAAAGGAGCTTGGGGCTGATCCAGGTGAAAAGCAAAGTGAACTGCCAGCTGTTAACATCTGGCTGTTGGAAAGGGCAAAGAAGTGACAAAGGCTTTGGGACGAGGTTTGTTTTGGTTTTGGGGGGTTTTTTTTAGAAATATGCCTGTTGTAAAAGCCCACATCCTGTGGGGAAAGCTGTTTAAATACTACTGGCTGCGGGGGAGATGCCACTGGGAAGCGGTGGTGCCGGAGGGCTCGCAGGTTTGCCTGTCGGTCCTTCGAGACCAGCCACGAGTGGGTCGTGCTGCCCTGCCAGAGCTCACTTTTCTTTCTGGTTATTGCAGGAACCTGTCTGAACCTGTCATGACATACAAGCTCCACAAAGAGTTGGTCTTGGCTGCCAGTAAGTCCCGCAGCTGCCCTGCTGACGGTCCCCAGCCCAACCAGTGTGCCTCAGAATCACTGACAGAGCTCTGCCAGCCCGGCACCAGGGTGTCCGGCCTCTTTCCCCTCTAGGAGTGACCCTTTCTTCCGAGTGCATAATTCTGCAAGGGAGGTGGTGGTATTTCTTCCCTTCTTTCCTTTGCTATTGCAATGCTCTTCCCTCTAACAGGGTTTCACGCTGTCAGAGGGTCTGGAGAGCCAGGGGATATCAACTAGCCTGAAATCAGCACAAGTGTCCCGGGAGAATTGTTTCTCATTAGTATTAATATATTTATTTTAAAACCTGTGAGGGAATGGGCTATGCTGTTGCCACACAGCTAGGTGCTCCCTTTAGGTCGTGAAATTTGTCCTGGGATGTTGAATCCAAAGTGTCTACCAGCACATGAAAGACACTTTTCTGCTGCAGCTCTTGGGACTCAGCCACAGCCAGTATTAACGGAGATTAGCCAAGTAACATGGGTATACTGACAGGGCATCACCAGCGCTAAGCCAGCCAGTCCTCAGCTCTCTTCTTGTCATGGCCATTTCAAATAAGCCATAGTAATTCCGAACTGGCTGCATCCTCCCGGACTGTTGAGTGCCGGCATGCTGAGCTGGAGACTACAGTCCCGTGCCTCCTCGAAGTCAACAGGAGGGTAGGAGAGCGCCCGCCTCTTCTGAGTTTGGACCTCTGGAGAATTAATAACACTTGTTCTTTCTTGGAAAGGAAGATTTTCCACCACCTTCTGATTGTGCTCAAGGCCAAGATTTATTAGTTTCAGAACAGGTTAAACCAATGATGGCTGAGTATGTGCAAAACCATAATCCCTCCCTACCCTCCCTCAGAAACTTGCACCATTAAGCTTCCCAGCTACCAAGATCCCACACTATTCTTTTCACACGAGTATTTTATTGTTTCTTGATTATTTATGCTTCTAAGGGTGACCTCTTTGGATCAGGGACTCCATTTTTTCCCTGCGGGACATTTTACCGCGTTGTTCAGTGTTACAGCTATCTGGGCGATAAGACACCCAGCAGAGAGGCCGGGTGTTGCCCAGGTGTGCGGGGCAAGGGTGCGAAGGGGGTACCCGGCCATGCTCAGCCCCTTTCCCCAGCCCTGCTCAGAGGCAGAGTGTGACCCTGAGCTCCCTTTCAAGCTTCATTTCTCCCTCTTTCCACTTCATTTTGTTTCTCACAATGATTACCCTGTTGCTATGTAATCTCACTTTTCTTCTGCTACCCGTCGCCGGGTTTGGCCAGCCAGCCCGACATTGCAGAAGGAACAGCTCCCACAGATTTTCTTTGTCTTTATCTTTCTCTTATATATTTACTTTGAAAGTGGTGGACACAAACTTTTTTTCTGTTTCTTCTTTCCAGAATCTGAGAACCTGGATTACAGGCTGGGAGCCATTCACGCGCTGGTCTATAAACTACCAGAGAAGAACAGAGAGATGTTAGAGCTACTCATACAGCACCTCGTCAAGTAAGCAGACATCTTTCTCTAAAGCCAAAGTAAGGGGAATAATGGAATCAGCAGAACAAGCCTTTTTTTTTGTGGCAGGTTTGCAAAATTGCGTCCACCACAACTCCCCTAGGAGCTGATGGTTGGACTGCACAAACGGTGTGATTATCCTTGCTACCCACTGCATTAAGTGGTGGTTTCTCTAATTGCCACTTTCATCCCCTTTCTGACAAGCACCAAGCAGGAAATAATTTTAAAATGAAAACGCCCTCTGACAGCAGAGCTATAAATTGTCACCTCTCACTCCAGTTAACAAGAACGTTAGGTCTGGGGTTTGGGAACAGCTGTAGGACCCGTGCCCATGGGCTGAACGTGAAGCATGCTTTGGTTTTATCTCCAGCTCAATGGATTCAATGTCCTGAGCCCTTAGAGCAACACGAAGGCTTGAGCGTGTCAGTCTCTGCTCCCATACAGGCATGCTGGATGTTTGGTGGCACTGAGCAGCGCTGCTTCCACGTGCTTCTGCCCGTGAGCCACTGAAAGCCTGTTACTTGATGACGGTGGCCCCAGCACTGTATTGGGAAGCGGGTGTTGTCCTGCCTCCTTGTCACACCGAACGCGAAGGCTCAGCACGGAAGCTCTGCCCTCTCTACCCAGGGGCGCAGGGGCGCAGCAGGGAGAGAGGCTTGTGACGAGCCGTGCTGAAGCTCAAAAGCAAGGGAGCGGTCTGCGCAGGTCAGGAAGGACCAGGGCTTGCAGAAGCAATGGCTTTGTATGACAAGGCTTGCTTTGGACCTTTGGAGAAGTCGTTTTCAAAACTGGACTGTTTCAGAAATAAGCAGGGCTACCTGCTTATTACCTGGGTATTTCAGAGATAAGCAGGGCTGACCTGGGATTGTCACGCCCTGCCACTCGAAGGCGAGTGCTTGGCCCTCGATGCCGTGCCCGCTCTTTGGGGCGAGGGGGCTGGCTGGGGATCCTGCCTGCCCTCCGCTTCCAGCCTTTCATGTGCGTGTTTGTGCGGTTTTTAGAAACCTTTCTGTGTAAGTGGCAGAGCTGAGAGTGTCTGGCGTGCAGTCCGATGAAGCTAACGCTGTACTTGCGGTCACTGCGTTTATTCCTTCAAGTGTTTACGCTTAAACTCTGTTCCCTCTCCCCTTCGTGCTGACAGAAACCTCTTTAACGCCAGAGCTACAGGGCAAACCTCCTTCCGTGTGAGCGTTGGAGCCTCTCCCCGGCGCGCTTCGGGAGGCGGTGGTGCCCACCGGCGTGCTCGGTACTCCAGTCAGCGACTGGTGCTGCTCCGCAGGCCTGCACGTTCCTCCAGAGCCTGGAGGCTGCGGGACAGAGCACGCTCTGTTCTGTGAAAACTGTTGTTCTTCCAGAAAGAAAAGGCTGTGTAAAGTGTGCTCCCTACATTCAGTCCTCCTCCTTCAGAGAGAGGAAAAATTAAAGCCAAAAGTCCGTTCTGGGAAGACAGTATATTCCGATTTAAACGATTCCTTTTGTGTATGTGTTGCGCAGATGACTTGATTGCAGAGTTAAAAGATGAGCTAGGAGTGGGAAGGGATCAAATAAAAACGCAGTCAGCCTGTTGCTCTCCCAAACAGTTGTCCTAGCCAAACACGCATGGCATAGCTAGAGACATGTTTTATCTCTGGTAGGGTTGGGAAACAAATTCTGCTGAAACAAAACGAAGAAAATTGACTGACCGATTCTTACTGTGTCCTTTTTTTATTGCTTGGAATAAGATCTGTTTGGAAAAAAACAAACCAAGCTAAAACAGACTCCTTCTTTCCCTCCCCTCCACAGCATATGTGAGCACAGCCGAGAGAATCTGATGTCACCGTCGAACATGGGGGTAATATTTGGACCTACGCTCATGCGAGCACAAGAGGACACCGTGGCAGCGATGATGAACATCAAGTTCCAAAACATAGTGGTCGAGATTCTCATCGAGCACTTTGGGAAGGTAGGGGTGGCAGCCCCGGGAGCACCTCCACGCAGCTCCGGGCTGCTCCGTCACGCTCGTGCAAACTGTTGCTGTGGCAACAATGTGGAGCTCTGGGTCCTTTTTCTGGAGTCTCCTTAGGGGCTGGGATTTTTTTATATAATATCCTATTCTGAAATGCTTCAGAAGAAATGAAGTGTAGCAGATATGTTCCTCGCTGTTGCCTTTAGCTAGTTCTGAAGGAAACCCTGAGTCTAGGGATTTTTGCTTTTCTTTTTAAGTAAGAGGAATCTTTATTGAAAAAAAAAAAAAACCCTATTCTATGCCTGGACATTACAGGACTTTCATAGAGTCATAGAATGATTTAGGTTGGAAAAGACCCTTAAGATCATCAAGTCCAACTGTTAACCCAGCACTGCCAAGCCCCCCACTAACTAACGCATGGCCCTAAGCACCACGTCTATCCGTCTTTTAAATCCCCCCAGGGATGGGGACTCGGCCCCTGCCCTGGGCAGCCTGGGCCAGGGCCTGACAGCCCTTTCGGGGAAGAAGTTTTTCCTAATACCCAACCTAAACCTGCCCTGGCGCAGCTGGAGGCCGTTCCCTCTCGTCCCATCCCTTGTTCCTGGGGAGAAGAGACAGACCCCCCTGGCTCCAGCCTCCTTTCAGGCAGTTGCAGAGAGCGATGAGGGCTCCCCTCAGCCTCCTCTTCTCCAGGCTGAGCCCCCCCAGCTCCCCCAGCCGCTCCTCCCCAGCCTTGGGCTCCAGCCCCTGCCCCAGCCTCGCTGCCCTGCTCTGGCCACGCTCCAGCCCCTCCATGGCCGCCTTGGGGTGAGGGGCCCAGCGCTGAGCACAGCATTCGAGGGGCGGCCTCACCAGTGCCCAGCACAGGGGCACCATCACCTCCCTGCTCCTGCTGGCCACACTGTTCCTGATACAAGCCAGGATGCCATTGGCCCTCTTGGCCACCTGGGCACGCTGCCGGCTCGTATTCAGCCAGCTGTCGACCAACGCTCCCAGGTCCTTTTCCACCGGGCAGCTCTCCAGCCAGTCTTCTTTACACTTTACACGTTACACTTTCCTTTGCTGAAGACAGGAGCTAGACCAGAGTATAACTGGTTTCAATGAGCACAGTCCAAGATGAGAGACTATACAACTATTAATACGGGGGAGAAAACCCAAAGCAGAGAAGTATCGAAAGGCCAATGAAAATAATGCAGCTGCGCATACGATCTGTTCAGATGCGGGTGTAGGGATGGCGTGGGCAAGGCTGGGGAGCGGAGCCGCTGCCTGGGGCCGAGCAGTCCGAGAAGAGTTCAGCCCGCGGCCGGTGCCTGTTGTGCTGGGGCAGTGCTCTGCACGGGCAGTGCACCCTGCCCAGGGCTCCAGCAGCATTTGCCTTTCATGGGATCTTTGCTGAATATTTTTGTCCGAGAGCATTGCCTAAATGCGCAGTCTGGATCACTCTGCCGTGGTGGGTGCTGAAGATTCACGTGTAGACAACAGCTTTTTGTCATGTGGCATTTTGTCTCCTGATGGAAAGCGGAATATTCCACTGCCTTCTGTATTAGCGCATTCTCCTCGTGATAGCTGATATCATGGCTTAGGGTTTTCAGGGTGGCTGGAGGGTGATCGAGTTGTATGTTAGTATTTAAAAACTTGAGGAGCGTTTGCATTCAGATCAACATACCAGGGACCAGATTGCTTTCCTGGTAACAGCACCAGGTTCGAAGGAGTGAGTTTGGTCCTTCAGCTTTTCGTAATACTTTTGCATTACAGAGCGTCCAAACAATCTCTTATGTCTTAGAGGTAGGGAAGGGTTGAAGCCATCTGTTAAAGGATGGTGTTTGCTGCGAGGAGGACGGAGTAGTGCTCCCAGCAGACAGGACAGCGCGCGTGAAGAAGTGAAGCTCCCTTTTTGGGAAAGGAAGAGGAGGCCAAGGCAGAAAGAGCAGGGTTCTTGCAAAAGTGCATGTGGAGTTGGAGCAACCAAATGGCGACCAGATGGGAGTGGGAGTTGGTTGTGGTGCTGAGGGTTGAAACCAGAGAAATGGGATGAAAGAGCTCAGAGAGACTTTTGATTATCCAGACAAAAAGCTCATGAAAATCACAAGCCAGTTTCTTTGTAGGTCTCTGCAAATGCTTTAAATAAGTTCCCACAGCAAAACAGGGAGTCATTTGTGTGCTGGGGTCCTTGCACAACTTGCTCCAGAACTGAGCCTCTGTCCTCCCCTCTCGTACAGCCTGCAGTGCAGGCTGAGTCAACACATGATTTACATTGCCACATCTAAGAGCTGGAATTAAATCTTTCATTAAGCCAGACATCTCCTTGCTTGCTTTTAATTTCTTCAGCAATAAGGTTAAGTTAGTAACATTTATTAGATTGAGCTTGTAAGTTCAGCGTCAGTGCTGAAAGTGTCTTCAGCTCACGCATGAGCTAACACTCTAAATGAGTCTGGAGGAAGAGGGATGTGGTTTATGTAGTGCAATATGAAGGCTCTAGGGACAAAGTAACTGTTCATGAACTGTTTGTGGATACTTACTGTTTCCACAGCTTGTATTTCAGTGCCGTGATTAAATTAACTAAGTTGATTGCTCTGGAAACACCTTCTTCACTGTACAAACCTTCTAAATATGAGGCTCTGTCAATATCTTTGTACCTTCAAGTTGTTTAACTTGAATTTTCATTTAGAAGGCAGAAACAAAGCAGAGGCTGCACCCACATCTTTAAAAAAGTAGTTTGAGATAGGTTTGAGCATGGTTTTCAGGTGTTGAAAAGCATCTCGTGAAAACAGCATTCGGTGGTACCTGTATAAGCATCCATGGGGAACTTAACACTTTTTTTTCTTTAAAAAACAGTATTGGACACTTGTCAACATATAGGAATGAGATTGATGTTTCCAAAAAATTGTCCTGCTGCAGGTAAATCTTTGCTATTTTAATAATAGATGAGCTGCTGCTTTTAAATCACGGGCTGTTAATGTCACAGCAAATTCCTGTGAATCCAGGCAGGGGGAACGCACTGGACCTGTACTCTGGAGTGGAGAAAATGCACTGCCCCTGCAAAGGGCTGGGCCCCTGTTGGCATTAAGCATCAGCAGCCGCGCCGTGTCACCGAGTCGGGAGAGACAAGCAGCTGAAATGACGAGATTGGGGTTTGGAGCTCGCCTGGGTCTTTGCCCTAAGTGCCGAAGAGGAGCCGCACGGGCAGGCGCAGCGCGTGTCGTTCCTCCTCCCTCCGTGCGGAGTAGGGCAGACTAAGTTGGGAGCAGAGCAGGAGTCCCAGCGTGCTGTATTTGTACCGAGCCTGCCGAGCGAAGGCCTGGGCAGGCCAGGCTTAGGCGCAGCTCGGGTCCAGCCTTGCCCCAGCGCTGGCCAGGCAGGAGAGGTGTGGGGAGCCCGGCCGCAGAGCTGGCCGGTGCCCGCCCTCACCGTACCACACCCGGCCTGGTCTCTGGGATCAAGAAGGCTAAAGTGGGGCCATGTTTTTCTCTCTCATCCCCCATCTTGATTTGCCATAACTGCTCTTAGGCTGGGAGAAGAAAAAACATGCTTTTGGTTTAAATTACAAAAACGGCGTACGTAATCAAATCAGAATGATAATGTCTTCATTTAAAAATTTTTCTGGCTGACACAATAAAATTGTTCTTCCGTAACAAAGCGTGCACCGAGGGAGCGGTGACCCTGCTCGTCGGTTGGGTCTGGTGCGAGCTCTCGTCCTCTGGGCTTGAGCCATCTCCTGCCGGCAGCCGGGGAGGGACCGGCTCCGCGTTCTCCCAGGGCAGGCAGCGCAGCCTCGGGTCTCGGCAGCCCGTGCCACCCCATTCGTAGTAACTCACTCTTTAAAGCTGGATATAAATCAAATTAATATCCGTGGGAAAAACACAAGAGCAGTTGGTTTGGGTCCTTAATGTGGTGTTTCAGATCTTCAAGAGACCGCCCAGAGGCTTAATTCTTTTTCAACTCTTAAAAAAGGCACTGACATAAACAAGAACCTCTAAATTAAACCCAACCAAATAGGTGCCATATGACCAGTGAGAAAAGGAGATAAAACTCCTAAGCAGCATTGTTTTTATGCCAGTATTTCATCCAAGATAATTTCATAGTGCTACACACTTCATTGTAAGCCAAGAGCTGAAGGGGTTTTAGCGTTAAATCTAAAACAATGCAATGGTTTGTTGGGTGCTTTCTGTAGATTGTATCGCCTCACTGGTGTGGAAATCTTGATGTTTCTCAGAAACTGTCAGCTTCAAAGCTTCCTTCATCTGCTTCAGGATGATTTGCTTCTACACATTTTTTCTGTATCTGTGATTTTGCTGCATTAATAAGTTCAGCGCTGCTGGGGTGTACAAGGTGCAGAGCAGGCAGCCTGTCCCTCGGAAAGCCCATGGCAGGACACGTCTGTAGAGCCATAACTAAAGCACCAGCCCTGCTCCAGCCCCTCGCTAGCCCCGGGGGCTGCCGAGTCTTGAGAGCGGCCGGTGCGTGCCGTCTGTCCCTCTGCAGAGGCTGGAGGAGCTGGGGTCGCAGGCTGGAGCCAAGGGCTGCCAGGGCCCTGCCAGGCTCTCCTGGGTCGCGGCTGGCCGGGGTGGTTTGGAGCAGCCCTGGCTTTTCCAGCCCTCCTGGGTCAGTCCGAGGTGACTCGGGCCACAGACCGTGTCTGTGCAGGCTGGAGAGCAGAGGGGAGCAGGGCAGCCCTTGGCAAAGGCAGCGGGTGGCCGCTTGCCGTGCAGGAGCTGGGTCTCTGCTCCTGGCGTGGCTCAGCCGCCAAACCCCTTCCCAGAGCCGAGGGACTCGCGGGCTCCGAGCGCGGCTGTGGCGTGCCGTGCTCGCAGGGCTGCCCAACGTGCCGGCACAGCGCTGGCCGGGGGGTTCTGAGCCACGCGCTGCTGGAGGCTGGGCAGGGCCGCGGGGGAGGGGTCGGCGGGGGGCGGCCTCCACCTCTGTGCTGGGCGGGCGCGCCTGCGGCTGGAGGTCCCTTCATGTCGGGCTGGGTCATCTAAACGTGTCTGCCCTTACAGATCTACTCCGGCCCCCCAGAAGACACCACCGCACCCCCAGTGCCTCCTCCCAGGGTGGCTGCCCGGCGGCATAAGCCCATCACCATTTCCAAACGTCCTCTGAGGGAAAGACCCGTCTTCTTCGGCGCTTCTGTGGAAGAAAGCGGAGGTCAGTCCAAGATGCCTTGCCTGCCTCTCACCCATCCTGTTCCTTTTAACCCCTTTCCAGGAGCAGTGGAGATAACAGTAGCGGGGCTGCACTGCCCAGGCTATGAACACGGCAGGCAGTGAGGTCTGTTGTTCAGTGAGAAAGGAAAGCGAAAAAATACTCGCACACAGGTTGCATCATCTCACAACTCAAACTCCATGAGTTTTTTTTTTTTTGTCCTGTTACTTGCTGCATTCTCTGTTAGCTAAACTAAGACTGCTTCTTGCACGTGAGAAACCCATTGGAGAGGTTTTGTAGCTTCAGAGGCAAAAATGCGAAGTGATGCAAATGCAGCTGAGGAGCAGAGCTGGTGGGGCGGGAGCGAGCGTGCCGGGGCCGGGGCCGGGGCCGGGGCCGGGGCTGGGCTCTGTGCTGCTGGAGCTTGTCCTGCCAGAGCCCATCGGTCCCAAGAGGGTCCGCAGGGCTGGCTCAGCCGCTGGCCACTTCACCTCCAGAGCCAGAACACTGGAGCGCTTTTTCAGGACCCAGTGATAGTATTTGCTAGACCAAGTACAACTCTGCTGTTAAATTCATTTGATTATAAGGAAATGGTAAGGCCCTTATTATCATGTTGAAGGGCACATCAATTTAAAATCATGTTTCTCTCTGCACCTGATTTGCTCTAATTGTCACTGCAAGCTGTGCCTTAGATCACATCATCACCAAAGAGATGAAAAGTCTTCTTCTCTGTTACAGTTTTCAGAGCTTTGATGGTGTTTTAGGCTTAATACTACAAGTGTACTTTTTGGCACTGGCAAACGTGATTGATTCAAATTGCTCTGTAAGATCACAAGACTGATCATGGAGTTAGGGATGGCCTTGCATTTAAACGTTTCTCCGAACTGGGAGCAGAAGCATTAGCGTTTGACTGCACCAAGGCTGTGGGGTGCAATCAGCTTCATAGCAGCACTTCTGCATCCTGCACATGGGGCTCTAGCACAGCAAGAGCGATGGGATGAAGGAATTTTGGAGGGACATAAAAGCACGGAACACAGCTGCTCATGAGCAAGGGTACTGGAAATTTAAAAGAAACCCATAAGTATGTTATGTTATGTTATATTCAGTGTTGTTCCAGTTTTCTTTATTCCTCAGCATTGGCGTGAGCCACTTGCTATTTGCGTTTTGCTCAGAGTGAGGAATCATCGCTGCCAAAGCAGCCGTCTCCTCCGGGCTCCCCGCTGCGAGCGTGTGTGTCCCATGGTGCTGCCGGATCTGTGCCGCTCTGCAGGAGAGCTCTGCCCTCCTGTGGAGCAGAGACCGCGACGCCTCCGCGCTGCGTCCTAACCCAATGGCTGTCTGTCCCCTTGGCTCCGCAGCAGACCGGCACGGCCAGACCCCCATGAGCCGGGGCGTCCCCCCGCCGAGGGCCGGCCCGACCCGCGTGCTGAGGCGGAGGTGGGGAAGCTGGTGGCCAGGCTGCAGGATGGAGGAGCGAAGCTGGCCAGCAAGGCTGCCAACGGGGTGGTGGCCAGCCCTGCCCTGAGGACCTCCACACTCCAGGCCAAAAGACCGGCTCCCCGGCCAGGGATCTACGGCAGAGAGGGTGAGCATGCGCCCGGGGCCGTGGCTCAGGCCAGCATCCCAGGTGAAGCGAGGCAGAAGGAGTGCCATCCTCCAGGAAAGCTTGGGATGGCCGGAGCGGGTGGTGGGCTTCTCGCCTTGAGTCCTGTTGATGTAGCTCAGCAAGAGGGGTTGGGAGAGCAGAACAGCTTGAGATGTGGGCACGGGCCCACAGCCTGAGGGTGTGATCAGGCCTTGGCCTCCCGAGTTGTCCAGTTTTATTTCAGACAGTGGGTACTTTTGGTCTGTTGCTTACTGGGGGTGCAGCTGCCGTGGGGTTTCAGAGCAGCCTGCGGAGCCCGGTGCTGGTGCCAGTGCTGCCCCTCCGCTGAGCCAGGCAGATGCCACCAGTGTCAGATGAAGCAGGCTTTCCATGCAGTAGCTGAGCCTCTGCTTGTGCTGAGCTCAGCCCAGCTCAGTGGACTCGTAAAATTCAGGCTTGAGTAACGATATAAAGACCATTAAACTCGAAGCGAATTGTACCTGGTCTAACCAGCCATAAAACATGACGGATGCAGGTTTATAAACCAGCCGTAAGCACTCTGGATTGTCAGCGCTCTCCACAGCAGAGACAAGGAAAATGGCAAAAGTCACTTTCGCATTTTAATTTCTGATGATTTTATCTGTCGGGCCCGCCGTGACGCAGCTTCTGGCTTACCCAGGCTTTACTGGGAATGTTTACTTCAATGGCTGATCCGTTGGTGTTAAAGATAAATAATAATTATTATTTGTATTCTAAGAAGCTTTATACAGAAATTTATTGCAGGTAGAAATAATTAGTTTGGGGCCAGATCTGAGCTGGCGTTGTCCGCTTCAGTGGAGGAAGGCAGGGTGGGCGTTCGTGTGTCTGCCGGTCTGTAGGCGTTCTCCCCGGCAGCGCCAGGGAGCCGTTTGCAGTAGGGGACGCGTTGCCGTAACCGCAGGTATTTGGTGCTGAGTTTTATAAAATATGCAGGACGATGGTCATAATAAAAGATGTATTGCAATTTGCCAGCTTTTCCTGTGCACTTGCCAGTGCTTTTCAGATGCTGTCGTACCCTGACAGCTTCACAGTCCTCTATTTAGAAAATAAAAACCGGGCTGCGTTCTTGACAAATGACTCCCGTGTGCAGTGGAGAGAAAGAAGGAAGGCCCGGCTGGGTAGGACAAACGTCCAATTCATCTGACGGACACTACTGGCTTTATTTAAATTTGTTGCATAAATGGTAGGTGGAAATCTGCTTTCGGAAGATTGAGATAGCTTTTAAGTTGGCTTATACATCAACTACACTTAGTCTTCCAAGTTTTATGGGTTTGCATTATCGCACGTAGCGTGCTGACAGCATGTCCTGGAGCCACAGCGTAACAGAACAGGCTGTGTTGATCCTTGAACGTATATCTAGAAGAACGCTGAAGTAGTAATAAAGTTATATTACATCTGTGTTGATACTTGCCAGTCAGTGCTAGAGCGCTGTATCGAGCTGTTAATGTGCACAGTTTGGGGGTAATTTTGAAAAACTGGAGAAACCAAGAAGAAGTATAGGCTGAAGGATTAGAAAACAGGCCTTTTACTGAGAAACTCAAGTTATACAGCTTGCCAAGGAGAAAATTTAGGATCAGAATTTACAAATCCAAGTATGGAAGAAAGTTGGTTAAGGACTGGTGTTTGAGCTAGCACACCAGTATATAATAATGTTCAGTAACCAAGGGGTTGACAAAGCCTTGGTTAAGTAGTTGCAGCAATTAATTATCTTTCCAAATAGAAAAACATCTCTGACTTATTTCTAATCAGAAACAGGACTCCCTAGCAGTGGAAATGTCTAAATCGGAAGGGCGGGAATCCAGCCCTTAAGATGGTTTTGACCCATATAAATGTCCAGATGAGAAGATCGCAAGGATTGCTGTCCTGCAGAGATGCGCCCCGGAGGTCTGGGCGCTGGAGGGAAGCTGTGGGGTCACCAGGGGTGTCAGGTCAAGTCCGACACTTATTCCTTATTCACTTCACCCTTGAAAGTCTTCAAGGGTGAAGTGAATAACAAGGTTGGCTGGATCCTGGGGAAGAAAAGCAGCCAAGGGAGGAACTCCTGCGAGCAGAGCAGAAAGCCAGGGGAGAGGACAGGTAGTGCCGCTGTCCAAGATAAAAGCTCGGAGAAGCAGCAGCCCTGGACTGCAGGGATCGCCAGTTTGTGCTAGTCCTCCCGCTTTTGAAGAGCAGCACTGCACAGGTTTTGTTTAGGAAAACTTGTTGTTCCCAGGCAGTATCGTCTTTGCAATCAGCAACTATATCAAGTTTGTCATCACAGGGTCCAGCATCAGCCCCTCTTTCTAGTGCCAAGAAGGCTGTGCTGGGGCAGGCAGCATGGGAACTGCCTTTTCTTTGGGCTCT